AAGGAAGTTAAAAACATATGTTTACTTTAGCATTTCAGGAAGCTAACACCTGCTCTCTGATGCATCTTAAACTGTCCCCTGATGTAGTGTTATTATCATTATTAACATCATCCCATGGCTCCCATTATTTCGAGTTGTAATCACAATGTGAATTTGCACTATCCTCCTTTGAATGCACTATTATATTATATTACATTTTAATGTATGCAATATTCTATGTCTTTACTCAGCTTATTAAATATTGTCTTTAATTGGTAACTGTATTCTATGTGGTATACATGTTCTGTGGTTATTTGTATGTATGTCAATACTCTACTGTGAAACACATTGGACACCAGTTCTTGTATGAAAGGTGCTATAAAGAAAGCTTATTATTACACTTTAAAATGGAGCAGGTAATTAATTTAAACACATTTCTGACAAAAAATGTTTGCGTTTTTTCAACAAAAGCTTTTGGTTTTATAACACATTGCAGTGTTGTTTATGAGGTGTTAGTTCTCTACTGTGAAGCACTGTATAAAATGTGCTATACAATAAAAGCTTAATATTATTATGGTCCAACCTGGAGGATGACACACTTTAAGAAGGGAGCAGCTAACACATTTTTGACACATGAATCACGTTTTTCAGCATTTCATTTACAGACACTTTTGGTTTTATAACATATTTTGAGTGAATCATTAATATGTGTGGTTTTGTCAGTTTAAAGAAACGTTACATTGTCTTTGCTCCAGATAATAGCCAGACTCCGACCGTTGGTACAACCAAACAGACACTGTTCAGTCAACAGTCACAACAAAACACCAATAAAGGACGTTTTAAAATGCCAAGAGTGAGAAGCTATTAATTCAAATACATTTTTGACACATGAATAGCGTTTTCAGGGTTTATTTAACACAAGCTTTTGGTTTTATTCGACATTTTGATTGTAGTGTTAAATTAAAACTGTTGTATTCTATGTGATATACATTTTCTGTGACTATTTTATGAGATGTAAATTCTCTACTGTGAAGTGCTGTAAAAAAGCTTATTATTATTATTATTATTATGTTCCAATCTATCATGTGGATGGTACACTTTACAAAGGGAGCAGCTAATTAATTTAAACAATGTTTTGACACAGGAATAACGTTTTTCAGCGTTTTATTTTAAAAAGCTTTTGGTTTTATAACACATTTAGAGTATAGTTATAATATTCCCTGTCGTTTTGTCAGTTTAAAGAGACGTTACATTGTCCCTGCTCCAGATAATAGCCAGACTCCGACCGTTACAACAATCTAACGGACACTCAACGGTCGCAGCAGAAACAAAACAAATGGAGGTTTTAAAATGAGGTTTAGGGGAGGTCTTAAAGAGGTTTCTCTCACCATGTAGAGGATGAAAGGGAAGCACAGCAGGAACAGCCAGATGTACAGATGTAACGCATTGACGAAGGTGTTTTGATCGGGGTCGTAGTACCATCCTCCGGTGACTGAAGCCCAGACCCCCTGCCTCAGGATCTGCAGAGTCTGAGACCCCATGTTCGGTTATCCCGACCGACGGAACTACCTGGAGGTGACCGGGCTAGTGATCGGTGAACATGGCTGTGTTTTCAGACAGTGGCCTGAGAATCCCCCATGTAGCAGCAGCCATCTTCTCCTAGCTGCCAGCTGGGGCTCTGTTCGGTCCTCCAGCGAGTAGACAGCTATCCCACCACGCCCTGCGAGACGCTTCTTCTTCGTGGTATCCGGGAGTAGAAGAAGAAGAAGCTACGGTCCAAAGCGAAGTCCGCTGGAAGTGCGCCACACGTTGAAGCTGATTTATGGAATGGCTTAGTGGCCAAACAGTGGTACTACAATTGCCGTGACCTCATTTTGGCCCCTAAAGACTTTTGTGCAAATGAAAATCTGAGAATGTTTCCCCTAAAAATCTGAGAATCCTGACTTTTTCCTCAGAATACCTTTTATTTATTTATTCTGAAATAAAAACATATTTATTTTTCTTCTGAAAATCTCAGAATCTTGACTTTTCCACAGATTTCTGAAAAAAATATAATTTGTCTAAAATATGAAAATATGTTTTTCTGATAATTTTTTTCTGAACTCTCACTTAAATAAAACATATTTTCTTTTCATTTTTCTGAAAAAAATAAAATAAATGCATATCTCAGAATCCTGACTTTTCTCAGAATTCTGAAAAATAGCTTATCTTTTGGAAACGTCTGTCCGTCCTGGGAGAGTGATCCCTCCTCTGTTGCTCTCCCTGAGGTTTCTCCCATTTTTCCCTTTAAGGAAGTTTTTCCTTGTACGATGTGAGGTTGTCGTATTGTCATACTGATATTCTGTACTGTGAAGTCCACTGAGACAAATGTAACATTTGTGATATTGGGCTATATAAATAAACATTGATTGATTGATGATTGATTGATGATTGAAATAATAACATGTTTATTTTATTCAGATTTTATTTTTCCAGAAATGTTTTTCAGAAACCTGACTTTTTCCCAGATAGATATAGATTTTTTTTTATATAGAAAATTATATAGAATTCCGACTCAATTCATTTCTTCTGATATATAAAAAAATATATATATATTAAATGAATCTTTCATGAACATCTCAGAATCCTGACTTTTTTCTCAGAATTCTGATGTAAAAAAATATGGATATTTTCAGATTTTTCCCCCCTGAAAATCTCAAAATTCTGACTGCGCAGCACGAACACTTGTTTTGTCCTTATTTCAATCATTAGGCCAGGGTCTAAAAGTTGTTTAATGCGCTAAAACAGTGATATTCTTTCTCTCCCCATTCATCTGACTAATACATTATCATTACACCTGGGTAAAACAGAGTCCATTCTCTTCGGTTCGAAACATAATCTCAGCAAATCCGACGATTTCTCAGTTGCAGTGGGCGACATTATTGTCACAAGTAAGAAGGAAATTACATACCTAGGATCTATTCTTGAGGCAAACCTCTCCTGTGACAAAATGGCATCCAATGTAATAAAAAAAGTCAATCAAAGAACTAGATTCCTATACCGGATCTCCTCTCTGGTAAACAAAAACACCCTGAAAACTCTGGCAGGAGCACTCATTCAAGGGTACTATGACTATGCTTGCACGTCATGGTACCATAGCACCTCCAAGGCGCTAAAAATAAAACTTCAAACATCGCAAAATAAACTGGTCAGACTACTGCTTGACCTTTCATCTAGAACCCACCTCACCTCTGCCCACTTTGACAACCTAGGATGGCTTAGAGTACACGACAGAGTACAGCTACTTGCAATGGGCCTGGTCTACAAGATCCACTACACCTCTATGGTACCCATGTACATGTCAAAATTCTTCCCAAAGGTCAAGGAATACCATGATCATAACACCAGAGGGAGCTCCACAAATCATGTGAAACCCAGATTTGGCACAAAAAAGGGGGAATACACGTTTCGCAATTATGCCACATCAAGGTGGAACGCTCTTCCCACAACTGTAAAGGAAAGTAAAACTATACTTACCTTCAAAACCTCTCTTAAAGAGCACCTTCGGGGGAGAGCATTGCAAAACTGGCCCCGGTAATGGTACAAATCTCAACCTGTCGTTCAATGGACAGCTTCCCCCCCCCCCCCCCCCCCATCTATGTATATACTCGCATTTTAGACTCTGTTACTAACTGTATATCTGTAGACTTGGTATGTCTTAAATGTCCGGTTAGGATGTATTAGAACGAAATCTAAAATGAAAATTGTAAATAAGCAATCTGTATGTAAAAAACCACCTGTATGTAAATTGTAAATAAGCAATCTGTATGTAAAAAACCACCTGTATGTAAATTGTAAATAAGCCATCTGTATGTCAAATATGTCTTATATGTCTTAAATGACATGATGAATTGGAAATGGGGGACCCTGATGTAAACAAGACGAAAGTCTTTCTCTGGTCTGCATCCCCTTAACAATTGTATGTTTTGAGCTGTACTGTACTGTACCCAATATACAAGCTGTTGATAAACTTTTCAATCAATCAATCAATCACTCAGAGCATAGGGCTTATTTTATCTGACTGAGCCGAGAGCGGTGGATCGGAGACGGGGCTTAAGGGAAACTCAACTGCGCATGCTCCGTGGGCCCGCATACGGGTACTTTTGCTCTTCATGCGCCACCGAGCAGCTCTCATAGGAATTAACCGGAATGAACGGAGTAAAAATTATAATATTCACCACTTTTCCAATGCCCATTCTTTTCCTTGAATTAATATTTCCTCAATGACGTTTGACTTTACCATGAGTACAATTGCACACGTAAAAAAAAATCATGAAATAAAACATGTCTTTAAGGTTATCTGTTCATATATAAACAAAGGGCGCCCACTATTGGTCATACTGTCTCATTTTAAACTTAGCTTCTGCTCAATTTATAACCTTTTGTAGTCTTGCATGAAATACAAAATAAAGGAATAAAAGTGATATAAACCTGTATTATATAATGTTCATTTTCAAGTAGAAAGTTCTGTATCAAAAAACGTACTTAAGTAAAAGTACAAAAGTAGCCTATACAAGTCAAATTAATTGTCAAAATAAATGTAGAGAAATGGATAGGATGAACTTCTAACATACAGCATTGCTTAGTTATCTCCCTCTTTTTGTTGCCTGCTTATTTTCCCTAAATTAAGATTTGTTTTGTGACGTTTTACTTAAACATTACTAGGAAGACAGACAGCAAAAGTGTATACAAATAAAAAGTAACATTTTGGCAATTGAGACTTTGGAGAAAATATGAACAAATGGTGACATCTGCGCCTTATACTCCCCCATTTATCTACTGGTCATACTGTCCCATTTTAATTTGTCCACATTTTCTGTTAAACTTAGACTTTTTGTAATCTTAGTTAAAAAGACAAAACCATCAGTGTTGAAAGCACTCACATTCTGAAGAAATACAATATATTTTAAATGATATTTTGTCCAAATCATGATAAGGAAAAATCTATAAAAAAAAACATTAGAGACAAATACTCAACCAACAAACAGTAAGTGATATATTTTAATACAAAAACACAAAAGTATTCCTTACAAAAAACTGAGGAAAGTGTCTGAAATCAAAGAGAGGTGACGAGTCAGATAACATGATGCGTTCTGACATCACCCTGTGTCAGTAAACCGACACTGATGCTGACGTCAGCTTATCAGCAAGAAAACCTCATCCTTAGTGAATTCTGCTAAATGCCTGCTGACATCAGGCACTCAACCCGTTAGTAGCACAGCTCAAAACTCATCACATGCACAGGACTCATGTTACAGAGTTAACGTAGTTCTGGCACTGAGAGAAGCTGCCTTTTGTTTCGGTCTAGGTACAAGATGTGTTCGGCCTACCAGATCTGTTCGGGGTCCGTTACGCTTATCAATGATGTGACAATGACAATCTGTGTCAGGAAAGTGAAGTGTTAATTAAGGAATGTTAATGAAGAACTGAAATGCATATAATAGAAAGTTAATATGTAGCATATCCCTCTGAAATATGGTCTTAGACTTTACTGATGATTTCGAATTTATAAGAACATAAGACACAGTTCCACTAACATACATTCACTGTCGATTGTTAGTTTTTAATATTCTTTGCGGAATTTGGCCGTGTAAAATGTCCTCTTGGGTTGCTGTACAGCCAATGCGTGACGTCATTGGTAAGCGTAACGGACCCCGAACAGATCTGGTAGGCCGAACACATCTGGTACCTACACCGGTTCATTCTGAGCCACAACTGATCAAATGAGTAGAGGGTCTTGCATATATGGAGAGGAAACAAAAATACTCCTGAGCTGTGGTTTCAGTTAGTGCTGTACGACTTTCCTTTCTGTATATTCCCAGAGTAATACGAGTATCTCCTCACTGCAGCCTGGCTCTCTTCTCTGGGGGGGGCTTGCTGGGTGGAGCGGGGGCCGAGGACTTGGTGGCCGGTTCTCTCTCCTCTTGTTTAACAGCCTCTGCCGGGGGTTCAGGCTCCTTCTTCACCTCAACTGCAAAATAAAAGCATGAACTAAGAGGAAACTCATGGATTGTTCCAGCTCTAATTTCACATGAAAATGTACTTTTAAATTAAATCTTAATGTAAAGACAACATTTCCTAGTTATGCACAGACCCAAAGTTAAAGGTGGGGTAGGTAATTTTGGAGAAACCGGCTCGAGTGCGCTAGAATTTGAAAATACACAACCAGAACCAGAACTGCCCTCCTCCAACACACACAAACGCGCACATGACCAATGAGGGCACGAGATAAGTTTGTGCACAGATGGAAGGCTGACAGGCAGGTAGGCCATCCAGTTACTTTAGCCGGGCCGGCTCAGATGAATGGTCGTGCTTTTTACAGCGCCACGGCTTCCACAGATGACATTTGTTTATGGATTTTTTGTCAAAGCACTTCAGATATTCGTTGCTATCGGGATGTTAAGAGCATTCCATGGAATATAACAAAAAGTATATCTCGAGCCGGTTTCTCAAACTTACCTACCCCACCTTTAAGAGTAAATATACCACAAACAAAATCAAACTGGCTTTTGACCAAAGAGAACATCTAAAGCAAAATCACCAATTTGGATAAGGTCAGTCATCAGGTCTGGAAGATATTATTTTAATTAAATCAGCTTTCTCTGAATATAATTCTTCACTGCATGACTTGCCTTGCAGTTTTTGAAATTGTATGAAATATGGATTAAAGGCTAGTGACTTATCCGACCGGCCCACCTCGGTACCGCAAGTAAATACCGCTAGTAAATTGTCGACGGGGGGGGGGGTCCTAGTGACTTATCCGACCGGCCCACATCGCCCAACCGGCCCATCGGGAATCGTCCTGAACGTCCCAATGGCCAGTCCGCCCCTGCATTCAATGTTACACACTGATGTCCACGGACTGATACTTATTAATGTCACTTTGTGATCTGAGTATATACAGCAATGTTGAGGTTCATACCTGGAATGGGCTTCTCCCCAGGCTTAGGCTGAAATCACAGGGGAAAACATTAAGTGATTTCAAAAGATAAGACAAAGAAGATTTAACATGAATAATAGAAATATACTAGTAGTTGTAGTTTTGAGTCGGTGTAACGTGTACCTGGTAGAACGTGGGTGGAAACTTTGACCTGAGGTCCAGCAGCAACGTGTCCACACGATGCCTCTGGAACAGCGAGCTCGCTTCCTCCTTCTTCTTAGTCTTGGGTTTATTTTTCTCTGTAGAAAAGAGTTATCCCATATTCAACATAATAAACATGAACTTCCTATAAACATTTCAAGATTGCAGGACGCCATAGCTCTGGCTCTTGAAGACTTCCCTATCTGCTATTTCACTACATTTCCAGATCAGGGTATATGCAGGAATCTTGAAGTCACATGTAAGACCTTTTAAGACCCTTTCCATACATTTTAAGACCTCATCGCCACTTGGAGTTTTAACCGGTTACCTTGGCGACACACTTCACCTCACATTGACTATATACAGTATTGATTGTCCTTCCTCCTTATCTTCCAACCATTTGGACGCAGACTTGCATTTCCCCATAACGATGTTGCTTAGCAACCGGCGTAAACGGATCTTCGCGCTATCAAGCAGTGAGCGTGCGACGTCCTGTTCAGACGACGTCAAATCCAACGGGATGCCATCAATAAACTACAGAATCACACTACACACCTACGCAATGATTACATTCAGGCAGACTGTAGAATACAACCTCTCTGGACCATTTATATACTTATTGAAAACAAGCTACAAAATGTAATACCTTGGGAAATGTCGTTTAATACTTAATTGATTGATCAACTTTTAATACTTTTTAAGACCCCGCGGACACCCTGAATATTGTAAATTAACTCAACCGAACCTCTCTCCTCCTGATCCTTGAAGTGCCACCAGTATCCCTTGGATGGATGATAGCGGCAGTACGACATGGCCTCATCAAAAGCAGACTGGATTCCATGGACAGCAGAGAGCTGAAACAGAGGGGGTTCATGTTACATCATTTAAATGTTATTCATGAAAAGCATTTCTGACACTCAGTTCAAAGAGTCCTCACCGCTCTGGAGCTGATAACGGTCCCCAGGTCGGGGGCCTGATACACCACTCCTGCTATGATGTAGTAGTCAGCCAAGGGAATGTCTGGAGGATGGAAAGAGAGGAATTATCTTAAGAAATAAGCTCCAGTGCTATGTTATTTAAATGTATGTACTTATTTTAACGAGAACCATGCATACAAATACATTCATTTCAGAAAAGAGAAGGGATGATTTATGCCAGAGTTGAGCTAATGGCGAATTTCCATCTGCAGTCCTTAGGTTCTTATGTGTGTGTGACAGATTTCTTGTGACAGCCATGAGTATAAGCAAACACAATTCCTTGTATATGTACACCAACTTTGAAATAAACCAGATTCATGTTCTGAATCTAATATACAGTACATGTATACATATAATATACAGTACACATCTCTGCGGTCCTGCCTGACTCTCATCATACTGCTTCCCTGATGGCTCCCACAGGACTGTTGAGATCCTCGTGGATTCTTCTTCTTATTATTATTACAGACACATGCATTTCCTAACATTCGGTCTATATGCTGTAAAATGTATTATCTTTTCAATTTACACACGGCATCTATTGCACGTCTGTCCGTCCTGGGAGAGGGATCCCTGCTCTGTTGCTCTCCCTGAGGTTTCTCCCATGTTCCCTTTAAACTGTGGGTTTTCTCCGGAAGTTTTTCCTTGTACGATGAGAGGGTCTAAGGACAGAGGGTCTAAGGACAGAGGGTCTAAGGACAGAGGGTGTCATATTGTCATACTGATATTCTGTACAAACTGTCCTGTTGTATTTGCTGTAAAGTGTCCTTATTGTAAAGTATTTTTACTGTATGTACAGCATACGGCTCGACCAAAAATCGTTTTAAAAATGGGCTATATAAATAAAACTTGATTTGATGTTCTTTTTTCTCTGCCGGACCGACATCAGTAGCGTTCAGATGCTCACCTTGTGTTGGTGACTGCCTCTGTTGTTTCCGGATGATATAAAGGATTGGCTCCTGAGCGTGAAGAAGAATGTACTCCACCCCCACCATCTGGCTGAAATGAGACAGAAACAAATGTTTGCTTGGAGGAGGTCACTCAGTACAACAAAGTGATGCTCTGTACTGGAAACATATTTCTCACCTTTAAAACCAAACAATTACATCTGTGTGTTTTTATTTGGATTTAGATTCTGCATGATAATTCATTTGCATGCATCTCACAATACACTCAGTAATCATTGTACTGGTAAAACACTAATCTCAACTGTTTTTCATCAATATATCACAGGTCTCAGATACTGTATATACAGAGCCTGTCTCTGATTGGCTGAAACACCAAACAGATCATTGCAGCATTACCCATAATCCCCTCTGTTTCAGCCCTGTTTCCAAAGTGCTGATTCTCTGTCTGTTACTTTAGATGAAAATAAGGAGCCCCTCCCCACGCCCCTCTGAGAGAGATTTGGTTACAAAGAACTCAATGGTGCTCTAGGAGGAGATTCAGGTGATAAGGGGGGGGGTTACCTTGGTTGCTGATTGGCTAATGGTTACACAAGACAAAACATCGTTATGACATCATAAAGTGGCCAAAATCTGATCAGCTCATTTTCAGACAGGTTTTTATAGAAATGGATCAAAAAGAGAGAGAATCTTTGTTCCTGAAACTTTCAGAGTCTCTTTCCACAGAGGGGACACATGTTGATGTAGAAGAGACATGAAGAAGAGGGGACACATGTTGATGTAGAAGAGACATGAAGAAGAGGGGACACATGTTGATGTAGAAGAGACATGAAGAAGAGGGGACACATGTTGATGTAGAAGAGACATGAAGAAGAGGGGACACATGTTGATGTAGAAGAGACATGAAGAAGAGGGGACACATGTTGATGTAGAAGAGACATGAAGAAGAGGGGACACATGTTGATGTAGAAGAGACATGGAGAAGAGGGGACACATGTTGATGTAGAAGAGACATGAGAAGAGGGGACACATGTTGATGTAGAAGAGACATGAAGAAGAGGGGACACATGTTGATGTAGAAGAGACATGAAGAAGAGGGGACATATGTTGATGTAGAAGAGACATGGAGAAGAGGGGACACATGTTGATGTAGAAGAGACATGAAGAAGAGGGGACACATGTTGATGTAGAAGAGACATGAAGAAGAGGGGACACATGTTGATGTAGAAGAGACATGAAGAAGAGGGGACACATGCTGATGTAGAAGAGACATGAAGAAGAGGGGACACATGTTGATGTAGAAGAGACATGAAGAAGAGGGGACACATGTTGATGTGGAAGAGACATGAAGAAGAGGGGACACATGTTGATGTAGAAGAGACATGAAGAAGAGGGGACACATGTTGATGAAGAAGAGACATGAAGAAGAGGGGACACATGTTGATGTAGAAGAGACATGGAGAAGAGGGGACACATGTTGATGTAGAAGAGACATGAAGAAGAGGATTTTGCATATGAGGTGAGCTTTAATTTATGTTTTATTATGTGGAACTATTTTCCAAGTCGCACCAAATTGCAGAGTTTAAGATGAACTTACTTCAGATGTTCCAGAGTGAGCCGCTGCATCTTCACCACCTCGTTGTTACAGGTGCGGTCGTAGAAGGGGTTACTCCTCTCAGAGAAGTAGTCCAGAACATTTCCAGGGTTCAGAATCGGCACCCAGCCGCTGTCCACCCAGGAAATCCCAAGGAGGTTGTCTGCAAATCAATAGAAAAATGTAACTAATGTTCTAAGTCAGTTTAATACAATCACATTGGTTTCATGTGACAGATCATTTCAGGCATGGATGGATCAGGCACTTATGTTATTCATCATAATCACTGCCTCAGGTTATAATGTTTTTTAAAGTATTTCAAACAGCTTCAATCAGGACTATTACAAAAGGGCTTTGGGCTAAATCACTAATTATATACACCATGTATTTCATCTGTTTTATTGAAGTTGGTTAGTCAATATTTAAAAATGGATGCAATGTATGATTCTTCTCTTGCAATAGTGTGAAGATTCATTTCTAGATTCAACTTTTTGTCCATAAATAGTCAGAAAATACAACATTTCCATCACATTTTTATCAAAGTCCATTTTGGTCCCAAAGATATTCACTTTGATATAGAGAGGCGAAGTCCCTCCCTTTCAGGGGAGCTCCATGGGACCTTACTTCGGGGAAAGTATGTATTGAAGTCAATGGAGAGAAAAAGATTATCTTTCGATCCCGTTTGAATTGTGCCACGAATTACACATATGATGTTTGTCAATCTAAAAGATAATTTTGCAATTCAAAAAAATTAAAATGTGTCGTAAAACTGTGAAGTAACACTTTGTTTGTGTGAAACCGCTCAATGAACTACATCTCCCGTCTCGCACCACACACCAAGACGGCCGTCACGTTGAAACATTTCACTTCTTTCTCTCAGAATGAGGCGGAAAGTATTAAAAGAGGTGAAAATCACTCCAAGTCTGGGCACGTTGAGAGCTGTACACACACACAAGGGGAGTTAGTCGGTTCCTAAGAGCCAGCATGCGGGACCGGGACTCTGGGATTTGTAGTCTTTCTAGTTGCGTATTTTTCATAGTCTTATATTTCAACAGTTTTACGACAAACTGAGACTTTTTTGACATGGAAATAATTTTTTAAATTGACAAACATCATGTGTGTAATTCATGGCACAATTCAAGCTGGATCGAAAGATAATCTTTCTCTCTCCATTGACTTCAATACATAATTTTTCCGAAATAAGGTCCCATGGGTCGGAAGTAGATGGGCGGGACTTCGCCTCTCTATGGAGTAAAACAGATAATTAAAGTAGAACATCTCCATATTTATCCATATATCACTCACCTCTTAAATCTGGCTTTTAATGTGTGATTGTTTCTGTATTATTTGACTTTAACTTTAACTATATATTTATTTGTTGTTCCTTCCTTTTCTTTTCCCTTCACTATATCTATAAAGCGTCTTTGAGCACCTGTAAAAGCGCTAACAAATTAAATCTATTATTATTATTATTATATTTGAGTGGCTGAAAGCATTTCTGATACTTTAAACAAACATTTATCAATTGTTTGCCTTTGTTGTTGTTAAAAAGTCTCCCAGTTGTATACCATACTCATGGATAAATTAACCTATACACATATGAGTTATAACATATAACTCGTATAGGTATTAGTATTACCTAATAAACTAAAAAGTAACTAGTAACTTAAAGCTGTCAAAAGAAGTAAAGAGTACACTATTGTCTTCTGAAATGTAGTGGAGTAGAGTATAAAGTACCTTTGTCCTTAAGTACAGTACTTGAGTAAATGTACTTAGCTACTTCCCACCTCTGCAAACCGTAATGTTAAACAAATACTGAAAAATGTTCTCCCAACAACATTGCTGGAATTTATATTAATACAATTCGGTTCGTTGCTTTATTAACCATTCATACCCAGCCAGCATTAGCTACATTCGCCAAAATGCTAAGAAAAGCATAGGAGGAAATGCTAACCGTTGCTAACGATAGCATGTAGCATTTACAAAGATATGTGAAACAACAGGAAATAAACGCAGCAGCTTTTATTTTAAGGTGTTCCATTAAAACACATGCATTGTTAATTCACTGAATATGATAACAGCGAAAAGGAATTGCTTCTAAATAACTGTATAATAAAGAATAAACTGGAAATGTAGTATATTTCTTTACCTCTGAAATCCACCGACGCCATGACAGATGTAAATAACAGCCTCACAAAGAGGACGTCATCAGTGTGCATCCGATGGTAGTTGGATGACG